AATTTTCAAAACTAGTTTTAATAGTTTTGAGTTTCGTTAGTTTTAAAACTTATTAGTTTCGGATAGCAACATTAATCCACTCTAAGCCTTAATAACTTTATGAATCCTTTCTAGTATAGATTAAATTAGGTTAGTACAGTTTCATAATCAATTTCTTCCAGACCTGTTGTATCTTATTTCATAAGTTAAAATTTGTTTAGGAAGATGTCTAAGATGATGATCAATCTTGTTTTATAATGTTTAATAGGATTTAGATCCAGAGATTAAGGTGGCTAATCTAAGACTGTTATCTTATTTCTCTTAAGCTACTGTTTTATTGAATTTGCTATATACTTTAAATTCCCATTATGTTGAAAAATAATATTTTTAACATTAAGATCATGTACTTCAATAGTGTTTATTAAATTCTCATAAAGAATTTATTGATATAATTCAATACTCATTATGCCATTAATTTTACAATAACCACCAATATTGTGAAATGTAAAATATTACTATATCATAATTGACTTACCTCCAAATTTTATTGTAAGTTTAATATAATAGTCTTTTATTAGTTTTTCAGGATGCTTCCAGTAATACTTCTTCCTATCAGAACTAAAAATCTTGAATTTTGATTTGTTTGATTATATTAACTTTAACTAAAGATGGGAACTGTAATTAATATATTGCAACTTTTAATGTTGCAACTTACGTTGCAATTAGTTTTAACCTATATATGTTGCAACTTATAATGTTGCAACATATGTTGCAACTAATTTTAGCTTATGTTGCAACATTTTGTAAATTTGAAATCAATTGCTGTACCATCTTTAACTTTAACTAATCCTTAACAGTCCAATTTTCATATATTTTTTTGCAAAATTATATCAATATTTTTTATGTTTTTTACTAAGGTATAGCATTTTTTTTTTAATTTTTGATACTAATCCATTATTTATTATTTTAAAGTACTTGACAAATAATAGGTATTGTAAAGTCAAGATTTTCTTGTTCTTGTAATCAGTTTCATACTTCAACAGTTGATGAACACTTTTGAGAAGTAATAAGGTTAATAATCCACCTTTATGTTAGTTCATTTATAGTAGGTGAACCTGTTCTTATCAAGTCTTCAAGAGTATGGTTTTCAAGCCACCTTTTTTTAATACAAGAAACTGTGAAAGGTGCAATTTTTGAGCCTTTGCTACTTCTCTTGTTGTGTATTAAGAATTTGGGCTCTTTTATTAGGAGTTGTGTGATGCTTACTCTGTTATTAAGTAATTGAGACATATCACATAATCAAAAAAATTTACCTTTTATACAATAGTTATGTAGCACAATAATAATCATCTGATTCATATTAAAAACAATCAAAAATAATGCAATACGTGATTTTATTATTGTCATAATTATTTTTAAACTGGATTATTAACAAATGTTAAAAATTTAATACCGAAATTAATGCTATTAACAAATATAATTTATAAAAGAGGGATATCTCCCGAATTGAGAAAGATATATTAATTTAAAGAAAGTTTTTTTTTTGTTACATAAATTATGATCGCCACTGTATATAATATTATAATAATTATTCTTAAAAAAAATGTGTATTAGTTTTATTATCAGAATATCATCTTTAGTAAAAGAAATCTTATTTGTATATAATCTATTTTCATTGATTTGGATGAAAAACATTTTGCCAATAATAGTTTTATCTCATTTATTATAAAAATATCATAATAAAATTTATGATTCTTAATGATTTGATAAATTTAAATAAAAAATCTAAATAATAATTTTAAAATAGAATTATGATAAATATACACCAATATTGGGACGCAACTTTAAACCATGATAACTCATCAACTTGTGATCATAGAAAAATAAGACACAGTTCATTGGAATCGTCATAACGATCCGCTGCGAATGGTAGTAAATTTATGTTTTAATAACTTTTCATGTTAGAAGAGTGAATTTCCTACCATTCGACGTCGCGAATCATAATGACAGTCACACTGGTTGGTTTTAACCCAATACTTTTGGAGGTTGGTGTATGTACGTTTTATATATCTTTATGCCTTTATTTTTAATTTTTCAGTTACATTTAAATAAAAGAAAAAAAATTTTTTTATAATTTTATTAATGAATCATTAAAATGCTATTATAAAAACTTTTTTTCTTCGTGAAATTTAGTTCTTTATAACTATTAGGTAATTTTTATGTAATATTTGCGAGATGTATTTATTTGATTATAAGCTTTATAATATTTATAGATTTACATATTTGCTAAATCATTTTTTTAAAAAATATACATTATATATATAAAATATATAAATATAAAACAAATCAAATATTATTCTGGTCGATCCATAATCGGTTCCTTGTTTAAACATAAAAAACATGATTAGGTTTCGATTTGAACTAATAGGCAAAATGGATCACGTGATAACGTTGTACAAAAAGGCTGATAAATCTGATAAATACAAACGGACAATAATTTTTTTTATTTCTGTTGATGAGTTTCGAACGCTTAAATAATGACTAAATCCTCTGAGAAGTGTGAAGAAGTAAATAATGGAAACATCATAACTAGTAGTCAAAAATCAGTCGAGTTGGATGAAAAAATTAAAAAACCTGCAGCAACAGTTGACGAGGTTACTGAGTTACTTTCAGCAACTTCAGTCTCTGCTTCAACAGGGGTATTTCGCCATAAAACCTTTAAGGCTTCTCCTTTACAATTAAAAGGTAAAGAAGAAACACAAGAAGAACGGAGGAAGCGAGCTTTAGAGGAACAAAAAAAGGTGAAGACTATTTTCACCTTTTTTAATTTTACAAGTTTTTAGCTGATATGCTTAAACTTCTTTTATAGAGGAGACGGGACCTTAATACTCATGCAAGGAACCTAGCATTATTCAAGCCAGCAGATTTTTCATCAGAAGAAGAATCAAAGTCTGATGATGAATCTATCAATAATGATACCCTCATTGAACTAGCTAAACCAACCAAACGCAGCCTCGATTTAGATCAAGATGATGATTTGCTACAAGAATCATTTGCAGTTAAAAAAGCAAAACTCAAAGGAAAATTTAGAGAACCTCGTCGTAAGATTAAAGGATCTAATCCATACAGAAATCAAGTAATGCACGCCGAATGGATACATGAAATCCCATCTGATTTAGAGAATAATTGGTATGTTGTGTTGTGTCCTAAAGGTAAGCGTTGCCTTGTAATATCAGCAAAAGGTAATCATTTAAGAAATATCTGATGATTTATATACATTTATTTCAATAATTATTCACTAAAGTACTTTATATTACAAAATCAAGGTAAAACGGTAAGCCGATTACGCAATGGTAATTTATGATTAATTTTGTTTTTGATAAGTTAATTAAAATCACCTACTTAAATTTTTAAATCCTAATAGGAAATATCATGAATGTTTTCGAATCGATTTTGCCCGCAGGTGCAAATTCTTACAAGGGAAACAAAACAACTGATTATTGCATCTTGGACTGTATCTATGATCAAACAAAATTTACCTATTATGTGTTGGATCTCATGTGCTGGAAAGGACATCCCATTTACGACTGTGATACTGAATTTAGGTTGGTGCAATAATGTTTCTTAAATCTATACTTATATATTTTTTTTTAATATACTATTAAATTTTTATAGATTTTATTGGCTCAACTCTAAATTTGCGGAAATTGAACGTCCAGCTGTAAACACTTCTACTTACACGTTTAATCCTCTCAAAGCTCATTATTGTGATCAAGAAAAAATATCATTCTTGATTAAGAATCCTCATTCTTTTGGATATCGACCAGATGGATTATTATTTTTTAATAAACATACTCAATATGTTCTTGGCGATACTCCGTTATGTGGTTGGGTTGGAATTGAAAAAGTTGAAGAAATGTTCGAAAACTTCATCAAACAAAAAAAATAGGATTTACGATTAGGCTAGCTCTTTTTTATATTCTCTTAATGGCACCTTTTTCGCTTGAACATTCCTCTTTTAGATCACAGGCAAATTATACTCATGTAAGAAATAATTAATTAACACAAGAGTTGTGAAATAATATGAACTTTTTTTCTTGTTCTTCAATATACACAAAAATTATTTAATGATATTATTTTGTATAAGAACTACAAACTATTTTGTTTAAAAAACTATAATATCGCAAAATATAAAATATATAAGATATATTAGTGCGATTAGTTAATAGAGCTAAAAGTTGAAGATGATTCTAAAGCGGTCTAAACAGTATATACAAAATTATGGAATGTTTTGAACAGAAGGTTTTAGATAGATAATTATTCTGTATTTTCAATGACCATGTCCATGTTCAAATTGCAAAAGCAGTGGCATGAACATTCCCAAAAGCATGAATGCAACGTGAGATTTTTTTATCTTAAGATGGTGACCATTAAAGCCATTGTCTTTACCGTTGCCATTAGTAACATCTTGCATGACATGCATTGCAACATATAAGAAAGTTCCTCCAGAAAAGAGTAATAACATCGCAGTCCACCATTTCATTATATTTGGATTCAATTCACCACTTCTTTGTAATAGAGAATAAGTAAATACTGCGGCTAAAGGTGCAGCTAATGAGAAAGTGAGCAAATGTTTACGAATTTGACGACGAGTATATGCTTCACGAAGTAATATTGTTGAAAGTCCAAAAGCAGCTGGAGCTTTATGTAACATGATAGCTAAAAAAACTATGATTTCAAGTGCTGGTTGGCTCGCGGAAGCACCAAGAGCAATTCCATCTGCTGCTGCATGTATTACAAGTCCAATTGTGGCTGATGCTGGTTTCTTATGTATTGAAGAAGAACCACCCAACATTTCATGATCTTCAACATCACGATCACTTGAATTAGCCAAAGAGCGAAGTTCTGTTAGACTCACAACATTTCCACGTGCATGTGTATGACCATGAGATGAATCTATTTGATCAATTACAAACATCATTGCAAAACCTGATATTAACGCAAATCCAATATAATGATGATTTGCATTTTCTTTTCCATGATCATGTTCGTCTGGTTGATTCTCTGGAGATTTTGTAGGAGGATCATTAATAGGTGGTTGGTTAGGTGAATCCGGTATTGGATCCATTTCTTGACGTTTATTATAATTATTTGGTCGGTCTTCAACTTTCAACGTTCTTTTTTGAAGAAAATTTTGAAAATTATCATCATAATTATTGGGATCTTTTCTTTGTAATTCTACATTATTCCACAAATTACGTTGTTCGAGAACATTATCTTTTATTGCTTTTATTGGTGTTGATGTTAATGGTGACGAATTAAAATCCGGTACACTATATAGAGTTTCAATTCCCTCAGGAATAATTACAATTAATGATGTTCCAACTAAAAGACCAACTCCAAATGCTGATATTGTTCGCAGCCTATCTTCGGAAAGATGAAATGCTAATGGAATACTTCCTGCTAGGAAAGAACCAATAAACATTGTTAGCGAAAGAAGAAACAACCATAAAAATGTTTCCATTGAATGTTCTTATTATTATTATTATATTATTAAAATTTCTATTCTCTGTTCACTATGTAAAAGAGAAATAGATCTAAAAAAAAAAAAAAAAATAGTAGGAATTTCTAGTCTCACTATTAAGTGCAAATTTAACATTAAATAAAAGTTTTAATTCTATATTAAGTATATAAAATCGTTTTTATACACAAATTATATTAAAATAAAAGCATTCGACTCTTTAAAAGCAAGATCCAATTTTGAAAAAAAAATTATTTCGGGCTTTAGCCAGTATGAAAAATATTGTCGAACCAATTTTTACAATTATTGGTCAAAAAGTTAAATGGGGCGGTAAAAAAAAAAAAAAATTGTTTGCTATCATAAGAAGATTGGCAACATATGTGACACAGAATTTTTTATTCGGAAAACATAATGCCGCAGTAATTAAGTAATTAAATTTATATTTTTGTAGTTTAATAATTAAAAAATCTACAATTCTTGATGGGTTATTACTTTATCTTTATGGAAGATCGCCAAAATATTTTTTCTAATTGTGAAATCATCAACTTTGCTATCTGAAATTGTACCAGATTTAATAATTTTATCTAATCGAGCAATTTCATTATCAATATAATCTTTCTTATTTTTAATCTTATCCATGATTTTAACATAATATTGAGCAAACCTAAAAAAATTTATAAGGTATTTTTAGTAAATAGTACTCTATTATAAACAAAAAAAAAAAATTTTTAATTATACAAACTTATTGTCCAACTTGTCGGCAACAACTTTGGCTTCTGAAATAACCAAATCAACATCTGTCTGTGTGGCAGCATTTGTAAATTTTATTGCGAAAGCATCTAATTCAGGTATTCTACCAGCCTATATATAAAAATAAACCAAATTAGACAGGATGATAATAAACCATTTTATAGACCAGGTTTACATACCTCCTCAGATAATCTTCCGCCCACGAGACGATGTGCACCGCAGCGTTCATTCAAAAAATTAATAAAATCTTGTTCTGACCTTCCACCTTGATAATCAATTGGCGTTTTATCTTCTCCTTTTGGAAAAAATTTAATTGTCGGATACCCACTGACTCCATATTTTTCAGCAATGTCTTTATGTACCGTAGCATCAATATTGGCAACAACACACTAATGAAATTGTTTAAATATAAGTCCAATGATAGTTAAGGTTCAAATTTATGTGAATACATACATTGAATTCTTGAGCATAATCTTTTGCAACTTTTTCGTAAGTAGGAGCTTTAATTGCGAACCTTATTAGATTATAATTGACATTAATTAATCCACCATTATTTATATTTTTATTTCTTACCGAGATTTTTGCAATGTCCACACCAAGGGGCATAAAATTCGACCTTAAATTAAAAATACAAGTTAAAGCCTTATGGTCATTAGGTAAATCAAAAAATCCTATAATTTGATAAAAGATACCAATGCATTTTTCTCAGGATTCAAAGCAATTTCAACAAAGGTTTGAGAAGTTAGTTCAGTAACCGCTGTTACAGCTTTCCTAGGTTTCATACCTAATAATAAAGTTAAATTATCAACTAATCATTTCAACAATGTTTCATATATCTAATAAATTAAGGATCGAACGATTACCGCTTTTTTCTTCGACGAAAGAAATTAAACTGCTCAAATCGCGTCCTTTACTATAATCTTCGGGATTATCTATTACATTTTTGTTAAACCATTTCAAAGTGGGGAATCCTGTAACTCCAAAACGACTTCCTAAATCTTTGTAATTATCTAAATAGATAAATTTGATAATTAGCATTGAAACAGGAAATCCATTATAATAACGACAATATAAAATATTTACCTGCATCAACTTTTGCGATAATTACTCGATCTTTGGCATATGAAAATGAATCGGCAAGTTGTTCATAAATCTGAAAGTTCAAAATTTTAAAATTATTGATTTAATAAAATTAGATGAGCTACATATTCATTTGACTTACAGGAGCCAAATTCTTGCAATGTCCACACCACGGTGCAAAAAACTCTACGAGTAAGAATTTATCTTTACCAACTATCTGGTCAAAATTATCTGATGTCAACTCTAAAACATTACTTGCGCTCACAAAAGTGTTGACGATAAGTAATAATAAAAATATGGGTAAAATTGATGTTTTCATTATTATTTAATTAAACTTAAAAAACGTAATAGAGCACTTTATTAATTTTATTTTTATTTTTTTTGAATTAATTTTTGATTGGTACGCAATAATCTGCTTTACGCTTTAGGAAATTTTTTAGTCGAAAAATTACTATTAATCATTAATCATTTTCTCAAACTTGTGTTATTTATAAGAAAAAATTATTTTTAAAAAAATAAAATCACTTCGCCATATAATGATTTTTAAAAAAAAATTTTTTTTGTTTATTAAATAAAAACATTATTTGTCATATCGAAGATTTAGAAATTAGTTAAGTAATTTTCTTGAGAGAAAAATTTGTAATCACTGAAAGTTAATACAATATATTTATTTTTGTATAATCACATACAATATCATTAGTCCTATTTAATTTTTTTTTTTTTTTTTTTAAAACATAGGAAGCATTTATTTATTAAAAATCAAATTTCAAACAATAAGTAAAAGAAAAATCCCAAAATGGATACAGAAGTAGAAAACAAAGTAAATGCTGCTTAACCTTTCTTAAAGACATAAAACTAATTCCAATCAAATCAACTGATTGTCTCGTCACGTTCTTAATCAACCACTAAGATAAGAAAATCATGAGCGACCATGAACAAAAGAATTAGAAAATAAAACGGAGTGATTGTAAATGTTTTGAGAAATAAAAGATAGGGTAGAAGTTTTGTATAATTTAACTTTTCTTAGTTTGTCTTTTTGAGTGATATTCACAGCTTTTTCTGCTTTGATAATAAAATCACAACAAACTTTCCATATCAATTTATAAGATTGATCAAAAATAAAATCGTAGAATACAGAAAAGATGGCAAATATGTGTTTTTGATTATTAGTGAAATGGTTGATGATGTGGTAAAAATGTGAAGGACTGATGCCTTTAATAAAATCGAGAAAGTAAAAAAAAGAAGAAAATGATGATAATATAGTAGAAAGTCAATACAGAAAGAGAGGATCTTTTAATGGTTAATAAATCATCAGACCAATTTATTTTAGAAGTATAAATAAAGATCTGATCTTCTAAGAGTTAAATTACCTGTATTATTATATTGTTGATACTTCAAAGCCTTTTAGCACAGGATCATATATATTTAAATGTTTCTTGTTTCATTAGACATTTACAATATAGTCAGTCTTTATTATAGAAATCAGGTTAAGATTTCTTAAGAAATTCTATGATAAGAAAATCTTTGAGTAGTAATTGGTATTTTTGTTTATATCTGTAAGATTCAGTAAAAGAGGTTTGTTAAGGTAAACCATTATT